TTTCTGCCGTGTAATAAGAGAAACCCTCCAAATTATATAGGATGTTTTTATGCAGTAATTGCAAAAACACAGTTGCCAGGTGTCAGCCGAAGCTAAATTATGTGTAATTGTTCCCAAAAATGTAACTTTAACAAGATAACTTTAGTTACATACTAACAATAACCAGTGTTCCCATAATCAATCCTCCCACCTACTGACGTCACCTACTCTTCAGCCGGAGAGAGTTGTGTACTTTGTACAGTAATTATAGAGTTTAGAAGTACGTGTGCCAACAGACAAGGTGGGGAGGTCAGGGTTTGTTGGGACGGCGGGAGGGCTAGGTCGATAATTGGTGTCGGAAGGTTCAAACGAGTAAATTTCAGTAGCGTATATGTATAATGTATGTACTGAATAAAAAAAAACTGCTCAAAAGAGTTTTCATACTTATTATTAAGGACCCACCTAATAATCGATATTAATAATAATACTAATAATCGAGTGCCAAAGGATGCTTTGTTTGAAATGGCATGTTGTAGATTATGTCTTAAGAGTTAAAAGTTCACATAATATATTACATTTTGTAAAGTATGATTTTGAGAGTTTAAGTTGATTAAAAGTCAATTTTCACTGGGGCGCTGTGAGGAAAAAGTGCATACTAGTACCTTAAAAATTACACATTCCATTTTGAACCTAACACAACTTAGATTCTTTAATTTGTATCTTTAATTTGCCTAATAGTTTATAATCTTATACACAAGGGTCCTCTTTTCATCAGTCGGCTATCTTCAAATCTACATGTAAGTTAGGCAAAAAGGCTCCCTGTGTACATGTAGGTAGACAAATGGGCCTCCTCTCAAAGTTAGACAAACTCCCTATCTATTTATTTGATAGGTAAATTGGCTATCTGTTTAAGTTAGGCAAATGAGCTTCCTATCTAATTAAAATTCCATTTTTACCGGGGCGTTGTGAAAAAAAGTGCATACTAGTACCTTCAAAATCAGACATTCCATTTTGAACCTAACACAACTTATTACCATCTCTTGTATCTTCAATTTGTCTAATAGTATGTAAGATTAGTAAATTAATATCATGGAGGTATATTTCTGCCGTGTTAAACAAGAAACCCGCCCATGATTAATCCTTCCATTCGTACTGACGTCACCTTCTCTTCAGCCGGAGAGAATTGTGTACTTTGTACAGTAATTATAGAGATAAGAAGTACGTGTGTCCACAGGCAAGGTGGGGAGGTCAGGGTTTGTTGGGACGGCGGGAGGGCTAGGTCGATAATTGGTGTCGGAAGGTTTAAAGGAGTAAATTTCAGTAGCGTATATGTATAATGTATGTACTAAATTTCAAAAACTGCTCGTTATGTTTTTATACTTATTATCAAAGACCCAACTAATAATCGATATTAATAGTATTAATGATAATCGAGTGCCAAACGACGCGTTGTAGGTGATGTCTTTGAGAGTTTAGAAGTTCACATTAAGATATTTGTATTGGGCTGTTCCCATAATCACCCCCCCCCCCCTCGTACTGACGCTGGCTTCTCGGCAGCCGGAGAGAATTGGGTACTTTGTACAGTAATTATAGAGATAAGAAGTACGTGTGCCAACAGACAGGGTGAGGAGGTCAGGGTTTGTTGGCACGGCGGGAGGGTCATGGAAAGTTTACTGCAGGTAACGTCTGAGGGCCAATCGATGATCGGTGTCGGAAAGTTTAAACTAGTACATTTCAGCAGCGTTTGTATTTGATGTATGTACTGGATTTTAAAAATTGCCCAAAAAAGGTTTTTTTATGTTAATAATTCTAGGACCTTTCTAATATTCGATATTGCGGGGTTGTATGGCGTAGCGGCAGAGTGAGCGACTCGGAACTAAAAGTCCTGGGTTCGAGTCCTGACATGCCACCGATCTTGTGCCCTTGGGAAAGGCATTTTACATGACATTCCTCACTTAGCTCAGGTGTAAATGAGTATTGTCCTGTCATGTATTTGTCCCCTGTGTTGGTGGCGGCATCAATATAAGTTGAAAAAACTTGAATGTGTCGCCACCACGTCTGGTGATTACATGTTGGAAGAAAAAAAATATTCGATATTGATAATAATGATAATAATGACCGAGTGCCAAAGGATGTTTTGTTTGTAATGACATGTTATAAATTTTGGCTTTAGGAGTTGAAAAGTTCACATTAAGATATTTACTTTGGGTTGCTGTTATGATATGAAACATTTTGCGCATTTTAATTCTTGAAAATGGTAAAAACGTAAAGCTACTTGGAGTCCATCTCGCATACGTTTTCAATTTCCCCTGTTAAATTAATAGAATGGAGATGTGTTTGCGAAGTTACATAGGGGGCATCCTCCCAAAAGCATCCAAATATTCCTCGCAAATGCTTTTACCATCCCAATTGTTCTGACGTCACACTGCCAGTAGCCGGAGAGAATTGTTTACTGTATTTAATTTTAGACGTACGTGTATCATGCTTTGTTACTGATATTAACTATACATATAATCTTTCAATCACAAAAACTTTCTTTCTATAATGTATCGTTGATAGCATCCTCCCAAGTGCCACTAGTTGTACAGTTCTCTCTTCCACCTGTTCTGATGTCACCTTCTCCACAGTCGTAGAGAAATGTGAACTTTGTTTCAAGTTACAAACGTACTGTACATACTGACTATGTATAACGTATAACATTCAGTCCTTTGGCAAGCTCCAAAAGAGATTTTGAGCAAATAAAATTCAGAACTACGTTTATCAAACCTGCCTCCTTTAAATTCGTCACTTTTATGCCATATGATGCTTATTCCAAGATTCGTTGTTGGTGACTCGTCGTAAGAATGATTTTCACTGGGGTGTTGTGGGGAAAAAGTGCATACTAGTACCTTAAAAATTAAACATTCCATTTTAAACCTAACACAACTCAATTTGTCCATGTAAGATTGGTAAATTAATATCATGGAGTTGTATTTCTGCCATGCTATAAGAGAAGCCATTCCAATCGCCACTGTCAGACAATTATTGATCGTTCCACCTACTGACGCAACCTTCTCAGTAGCCGAAGAGAGTTGTGTACTTTGTTGTAATAATAGAGTTCAGAAGTACGTGTGCCAACATGCAGGGTCAGGGGTGTCAGGGTTTGTTGGGACGGCGGGAGGGTCATGGAAAGTTTACTGCAGGTAACATCGGTAACGTCTGAGGAAGAGATCGATAATTGTGTTGAAAAGTTTAAACAAGTGAATTACAGTACCGTGAATTTCATAAATTGCCCAAAAGATTTTTTTTACACTTATTGTATAGGACCCATTTAATAATCGATATTAATAATAATAATAATAATCGACTAACGATGCTTTGTTTGAGATGGCATGTAAGTTTGTAGATTATGTCTTTGAGACTTAAAAGTTCACATTAAGCTATTACTTTTTGTAAAGTATGCATATGATTTTTAGAGTTTAAATTAATTAAAATTCAATTTTACTGGGGTGCTCTGAGGAAAAAAGTGCGTTTTAGTATCTTGAAAATTAAAAATAAACCTAAAACAACTTGGGGACCATCTCTTGTATCCTTCTTCAATTTGGTAAATTAATATCATGGAGGTATATTTCTGCCATGTCATAAGAGACGCCCTCCAAATCCTACTGTTTTCATCATTAATCCTCCTAATCGTACTGACGTCACCTACTCTACAGCCGGAGAGAGTTGTGTACTTTGCTGTAATTATAGAGATAAGAAGTACGTGTGCCAACATGCAGGGTGAGGAGGTCAGGGTTTGTTGGGACGGCGGGAGGGTCATGGAAAGTTTACTGCAGGTCACATCGGTAACGTCTGAGGACTAGATCGATAATTGGTTTTGGAAAGCTTTAACAAGTGAATTTCATTATAGTTTGTATTTAATGTATGTACTGAATCTTAAGACTTGCCCAAAAGATCTCTGTATAATACTTGTAATAGAAGACCCACCTAATAATCAATATTAGTAAGAATACTAATAATCAAGTGCCAAACGATGCTGTTTTTGGAAATGATATGTTGTAAATTATGGCTTTGAGAGTTTGAAAGTTTTCATTACATTAAAATATTTTCAATGAGGTGTTGTTATGAGACGTCGATTAAAAATACGCATTGGCAGTTCTGTTAACAAATATTTTTTTTAATATATATTCTGGTGATCGCCTCTTGTAACATATGGGTTTTAATGTTGGTTAAATGTAATTTAATTTTTTGTATTTATTACGTGTGTGTGTGTGTGTGTGTGTGTGTGTGTGTGTGTGTGTGTGTGTGTGTGTGTGTGTGTGTGTGTGTGTGTGTGTGTGTGTGTGTTTATGTGTGTGTTTATGTGTGTGTACGTGTGTGTGTGTGTGTGTGTGCGTGGATATGTGTGTGTTTATGAGTGTGTACGTGTGTGTGTGTGTGTGCGTGTGTGTGTGTTTATAAGAGTGTACGTGTGTGTGTGTGTGTACGTGTGTGTGTGTGTGTGTGTGTGAGTGAGTGTGTGTGTGTGCGCGCATGCGTGTGTGTGTGCGTGCGTGCGTGCGTGTGTGTGCGTGCGTGCGTGTGTGCGTGCGTATGTGTGTGTGTGTGCGCGCGCGTGTGTGTATGTGTATGTGTGTGCGTGTGTGTGTGTGTGTGCGCGCGCGCACGCACACGTGTGTATTTTGTCTGTGCTTAAGGTACAAGACATAGTCTAGATAATACTGATACATATCCTATGGGATAACATTTACCCTATTCTACTCCTGGGATAATATCGCATGTTTTGAATATTTGATGGTTAACTGCGACGTTCAAAACGTTTGCCTCCAGAAATATTACTTAGGCTAGGTTAAGTTTTGAAGTATGTTTCAGCGGTAAAGAGTTTTTTTTATTTGTAAACAACAGTCGGTGACACACGTCTCATGATTATGTCAGGGATATAATATTGACGTAATAATTGCTTACGTAGTTTTGCAATAATCAGCCGCGCACAGGTTCACGTCAGGTCAAGACATTTCCTCCGCAGAGATATTAATATCGCCCGTCCCTACCGGCCAGGTGTGTGGTTCCCATGGCCTAGTTTGGGACACAGTATAAATTACCGCACACAGAACAAGCCTCACACACATCACGGAGTCTGGACTCAACTCAGCATATGGTGAACATGTGGAAGTTTCTGGTCTTCATCGCGGCTGTGGTCGTCTGGCCGGACTCGGCACGAGGTGGGTATAGATTCTGTGCTTATTTCCTTGCAAGGGGAAAAAAGGGAAATGTCTAAGTGCTACTCTTTGATTATGCCTGCAATTTTTAATGTATTATTGTGTCATACGTCAATCAGCTTTGGCAATATCTAAAATGTTGAGCATTCGATGGACCAATCTTGTCACATTTTTTTCTACATCTATGCATTTTTACGGTACGGGAGGGATGTAGGGAAGTGACATGGATTTACGTATTAAGCAAAGGTACCAAACGATGTGGTTTAGGTACATAATCTTATACACAAGGGTCCCCTTTCCTTCAGTCGGCTATCTTCAAATCTTCATGTACGTTAGGCAAAAAGCTTCCCTGTGTACATGTAGTTAGGCAAATGGGCTTCCTATAAAAGTTAGGTAAACGGCCTAACTGTGCCCGTCCCATTCCGTGCCTGAGCGGGCACAGAACGGGACACGGCCTGACTGTCCAGAACTGTGCCCGGAAGCCCTGTCAATCATAGTGATTGGCGGGAACCTAAACATAATCATTCACGGCCATGATTTCTTATATGGCTAAATTACGTGATATTTTGCGAGTCTGTGTACAGCATGTGCTTTCAAAACGCAGTTTTCTCACAACTCAGTCTTATGTTTGGTCGACATGAACTTGGGACACATGTTATGAGAACTATGTTCAGTCCCCTAGCACGCAAGCTTTAATAATACGTGTCCAGAACTGTGTGCGGTCAGGCACGGTTCGGGATAGTCCCCCGCGTGTCCCAGAATGTAGATTTTCCCCAGGCACGGTTTGGGACACACACCGAGTGTCCCAAACCATGCCCAAGCACGGTTTGGGACAAGGCATCCGCGTGTCCCAAACTATGCTCAGTCCCCAGGCACGGTTCGGAACACGCGCCAAGTGTCCCAGACCGTGCCCGGGCATGGTGTGGGACAAGGCCATGGCGTGTCCAGAACTGTGCTCGACCTGAAGCACGGCTCTGAACGAACACTTCGTTTATCTACAAGTTGATTTGCTCTACTCTGTCGTGGATACGCGTCAGGACTATCCAGATCCGTGCGTGGGGTTGGTGGATAAGCAAGTGTTGTTTCCGATTCCAGGACTGAGCTTGAGTCAGTCTGCTTTCTTGGGTGTACTACGTGCTGTGTTGTATCAAGAACTGTGTTCACACTGTGTTGCAGAATGATACAAGACTCTCTGTTTGCACACTACATGTAAGTCGTAGACCAGCGTGAAATGTAAAAATGTACTTTACAGAGCAGGAATTACACCGATTCTTTGTTATTCTTGCCCCGACGAAAAACAAAGATGGCGACCTAAAACAGTAAAACAGCACCACTTGAAGGCTCCTCCCTCAAAACAATAAGTTCCACCCCCAGAGCACGGAATGGGACAAGGCCCTTGTGTGTCCAGAACTGTGCCCGATCAGGCACGGTTCGGGACAGTCCCCGCGTGTCCCAGAATGTGGACACGCGCCGTGTGTCCCAAACCATGCCCAGGCATGGTTTGGGACAAGGCACGGTTTGGGACATAACAGGTCTACATATTTAGTTCGGTAAACTGGATATCCGTTTAAGTTAGGCAAAAGGGCTTCCTTTCTAAGTTAGGCAAACGGCCTACCTATTTAGTTAGGCACATTGGCTTCATGTAAGTTAGGCAAATGGGCTTCTAGGTATTAAAGTTAGGCAGATCGACTTATGGCTAGGTTAGGTTAGTCGGACCACCAACGTATAATTTATGATTTTTTCTAGCACCTATGTTTCCCAAATAAACTCTATACCTAGTCTAGTAGAGAGTATTTAGTACATTTTCCCTTTTTTGAATATTTTGTTAATTCGGCAGACGTAAACTGAAGGTGTTCCTAAAACATTAACGTGTGATTTTTCCCTCCTTGAAGGCCAAGAGTACCTGACCACGGTCAACAGCTGGAATTTTTACAAAGTTCAGGCTTCTGGACCTATGTCTAATCAAAACGTCAGGACAACTTGCGAAGCGATGGGGATGAGATATCCGTGCGTCTTCTCAGGTAGTGCTGGGTGTACCGACTACTGGACCTCCGGCTGCATCACGTATGACGACGCCGGTGTCAGCTGTTATACCCACCAGGTCCTCTCGGTAAACCTGTGTGGAGACTTTCACCCTGGGTTCTGTCAGCCCCTTGATGACACCTTTGTGTACATCCCTGACTACTGGAGTGATGGCAGCGCCTGGGGAGTGGACTACGACACTCACACCTGGCGGCTGCCGGGAGCGAACTACTACAACATGTTCGCCGTGTGTGTAGGTAAGATCGCATCATTGATGTCGTTTCACGCCAAAAAAAACTTGCTGACTATCAGAATATATTAACCCTTGGCTAATTAGTAATAATTTACAGTATTACATAATGTAATACTACAAAGTCATCTACTGTCATTTATCTCGTCTGTTTCTTTAAAGGAAGTAGGACCAAGATGGTTTGTAAAGTGACATCTGATTAGCTTAGAATTCTGGGCAAATATACGGCTCAAAACGAAAAAAAAAAAAACCAAACCAGGATGACCCTATTCCTATTTCAAACAGAAGTTGTGAAATGTTTACCGATTACCCCCCCCCCCTATAGTAATACTGGATCCCTCTGAAAACTCTCTTTGAAACGGGTAAGTTTCTACATAAGGTGATGTGGACATATTTATCGATATCGACCTGCATTCTTTAGCAACATTATTATCTGCCCAGGTTTGATATTCATACTTGACGCTGTCACCTATTCCATTAGGCATTAACAACTGCACCATTTTCAAACTCTTACAGAATGGGACGAGTGCAGCAGCGCCCCCTGTCGGAACCAGGCGACATGCCAGGACCAGATTAACGGGTTCACCTGTCAGTGTCCGCCTGGGTATGCCGGAACTCTCTGTGAAGGTAGGCTTCCGTAAAATTTGACATACACATACACTTTTATCAATGGTCACTGTTTATCTATCTAAGCTAAATCAAAGAGCTTCAACGTGATACAACGTTCTTAGTTAAACATCAATTGCAATTAATAATTGAAGCCTTTGCCTTTTCTTCTGTTATAATTATATTTTGATGACTTGTTCGTTTTCTAAGTGTCTTTACACTCTTGCAGATATCGATGACTGCATCGGTGTCACCTGTCAGAATGGAGCAGTATGCCAGGACGGAGTGAACAGCTTCACCTGTCAGTGTGTGCCTGGGTATACCGGAACTCTCTGTGAAACAGGTAGGTTTTTACATAAATTAGATAATGTACCTTTTTTTTAATCGACGAGCATTGTTAAGCAACATTATCTACTCAAGTTTAACATTTATAGTTGATGCTGCCTCTAGCTACTCCTTTTCTATTTGGCAATAATCACTGCGCCGTTTTCCAACTCTTGCAGATAGGGACGAGTGCAGCAGCGCCCCCTGTCAGAACCAGGCGACATGCCAGGACCAGATTAACGGGTTCACCTGTCAGTGTCCGCCTGGGTATACCGGAACTCTCTGTGAAACAGGTAGGCTTCTATTCTACATATAATGTAATGTGCATATTTTTCGATGCCTATTGTTCAGTATATAAGTTGAGCATCGGTAGTTAAAGCTGTTGCCTCTTCTCTATCTTTGCTATCATTTTGATGACTTTCCAATACAGTAACTCTAGATCTATACTACAGCCATGCTTTCAGTTTTTGAATGAGAAGTGGAACAGAATGCACAATAAATGTACAATTACGATGGCTATATATATATCTGAAAAATCCTCATTACACTACATTTATGTACATTCATGCAGTACCAGTACTAGTCGCTATACTTTGTACCTTGCCAGTTATTGGACAATAACTTATAGTAACACTTTATCAAAAACTTGTGATATCCCTTATTATTTGAATGATTATGATATAGATATGTTAGGTTTTATTCGACATTAGGTCTTATGCAACACACTTATTTTATTGTTGTTACTCTCTCTTTATGTAGTTTGCCATACATTGTACCATGTGCAATTGTCGTGCAATAAAGTTCTTCTATATAAATTCATTTTTTTTACGTAAAGAACAACAAACAATTTTCGTTATATGCCACAATCAGGACAACACGACATTTGTCATGCAATTCAACTTAATGAATTTTACGCACTGTTTCAGATATCGATGAGTGCATCGGCGTCAACTGTCAGAATGGCGCCGTATGCCAGGACGGAGTGAACAGCTTCACCTGTCAGTGTGTGCCTGGGTATACTGGAACTCTCTGTGAAACAGGTAGGTTTCTGTACAAGGTAATATGCACACACACATTTTTATCAATGGTCACTATTTATGTAGCCTACCTTAAACGTCAATAGTTGAGGACTCTGCCTTTTCTTCTCTGTTATAATTTTGAGGACTTGACCGTCTCCAAACCCTTGCAGATTTTGATGAGTGCCGAAGCGCCCCCTGTCAGAATGGAGCAGTATGCCAGGACGGAGTGAACAGCTCACCTGTCAGTGTGTGCCTGGGTATACTGGAACTCTCTGTGAAATCGGTAGGTTTTCAGCTATGATATTTCATATTACAATAAGTTAATTCCTGCTTTTGTATGCAAACAGCTATATACAGGTTATGCATTAGCATATTTTTATAACGGTTATCTATGTAACATTAAACTTAAATTATACTCTTACAGAAGTGAACGAGTGCAGCAGCGCCCCCTGTCAGAATGGAGCAGTATGCTATGATGAGTTTAACAGCTTCACCTGTCAGTGTGTGCCTGGGTATACTGGAACTCTCTGTGAAACAGGTGGGCTTAGAGCTCAGGTGGATTCAAATCAGATATTATCAAACTGCAATATTAATCTGACATTTCCTTTACACAACCAAAGAAAAGTCACCTCTTTTGATTTGCCTTACCGGCTGTCTACACATGGGTGACTGCACGTTCTGCCCATGTGTGCACGAGACTCGTTTGGACGGCATTTTGGAGCATTGTATTTACCTTCAGGAGAGGAATTGAGTCTTGAATTTAGATATGAATTGTTGTTTATTGTATTTTTCTCTTCTTCTGCAGTTATAGACGACTGTGCCAGCAATCCCTGTTGGTTCGGGGGGACCTGCGTGGACGGGTTCATGGATTTCAGCTGTATCTGCCCGAAAGGGTTTGAAGGAAAGAAGTGTGAAATCGGTATGTTTATTTTTTCAAGTACCAATGTAACAAAGAGGCAATGCATTTTAAATTTCATTCTTACACATTTAGTTACAACATCTTTACAGTTTACACCCTCTCGTGTTTAATTCATTCATTAGAAATGAACTACATCTGTTTCAGCTGCGTTTTCTGGACAATGTTACCAGTTCTCGCCCGACGCCCTCTCCCACGCCGAGGCCCAGCAGGCCTGCAGTACCAAGAACGGTCACCTGGCGGACGTGAAGGACGGGCAGCAGCAAAGCTTCATCGCCAGCAGCATCGCGGCCACCACTGGAGCCTCCAACTGGCTGGGGATGGAGCTGCAACATGTGTATACCCTGACCTACAGTGACGGATCGCCTGCTCAAGGTTTGTGTCCGCTGTACTTTAACCTGCGGCTAAAGTGTAACAGTTACAGCCACTCACTCACGGCCATGTCAGGACCTACTCCAACGTTTCTATTGTGCGACGTATGTGGCTATTCAAATATTCTCTTTAACTACGTTGATAAAGCCAAAAAGCAGTTACTCATTTATAAGCAACTGGATATGATTTTGAAAAATCATACCCAGTCGCTTGAGTAACTGCTTTTTGGCGTATCGTATTACCTGGATGTCTAACCTTCATCGACGTACGTTGATAAAGGTTAGAAATCGTGGTAAGCGATGTTCAAAGAAAAATCAAACTCTACTACTGGATAAATAACGAAGATAACTTCAGTACGTTTCTAGTGACATCCTTAAGTGTTGTTTTGTGCTCTCAGTTCATCTTGTGACGCTGAAGAAGAGTGACGGATGTTACTCGAAACGTCCGGAAGTCATCTTAATTATTTATCCTCTATCCTTTATCCTTTATAACTCTGTAAACATTAATGTTTACAAACAGCAGGTCCCCTGCAGATGTCTGCCGTCCAGCCTCCTGCCCAGTGTGACTTTTGTGTTTTCCTGGACAGCTCCATCAGCTTCCAGGCAGAACCGACCTCCTGCACGGAACACCACAACTACATCTGCCAGTCTGGTACATCTGGGTTGTTTCTTGATATGCTTAATGAACGTAACGAGCTGAAACATTGTAACTAGATCAACGTTGTTCCAACAAAAATTTGCTTCGAGTAGGCAGGGTTTTTTTTTTTTGTCAAGTAGTCAGTTTTTCTGTCATGACTAGGTACCTCGATGGAGAGAGGCAAAACGGAGAAAAATTGTAGTATAAAGATCGGTTGGGTTTCAAACAGATAATAACACACACACACACACACACACACTCACACACACACACTCACGCGCACGCGCACACACACATACCTATTTGAAACAACCATTGCCATCTTATATATTCTTGTAATATTTCAGATATCCAATCCTGTGGACAGCACGTCTGTCAGAACGGCGGACACTGCACCTCCTGCTTCGGCGACTCCATCTTTTTCTGCGACTGTCCTGATGGGTTCGGAGGAAAGTCGTGCGAGATAAGTGAGTTTAAATTAATATCATTAACATAGATATTTGGCCATTCATGATGTACGTTTCGAAATAGCTGGTTACACAATAATAAGACCGAAATTTCAAACAACTATCAAAGGGGATGTAGTAGCAAAGTCAATACATCCTGTATTTTCCAAGAAATCTTTGAAATACCTTAGAAATATCAGCAAAGGAATTCACGTTTGCGTGTATATTTTAGACATTATGTTTTGTGTGTGTGTTCTAGACATCGACGAATGCGCGTCGAATCCTTGTCAAAATGGCGGAACCTGCCATGATGACGTCAACTCTTACCGATGCCGCTGCTTGCCTGGTTACGCTGGGGACAACTGTGAATCTGGTAATCAAAAATATCTTATTTCTTCTGTGTAGCGACATAAAAAAGGGGAATATACTCATCACCGGAGCTTAATTGTGCGGTAGAAGGGGGAGGGAGGGGGCACTCTTTCCCAATCCCATACTACAGAAGCAATCAACATTGAGCACGGATATTCACAGTGTAATGAGAGACTGGAGAGAGGTCACCACGTAAATTGTGGAAATATTATTCCTGCCAACATTTTTTCTTGTTATCACATAAGATCCCTCATAGATAGAAATAGGTATGTATGTCAAGCTTTATTTAAGGCTAAACTGTATAAGTCATCCAACACTGTAGTTGAGTATCCCAGGTGAGGATTATTACTTTACTGTGAAAGCAGCAGAATGTAGTCTCTACCAGACTAACTACGCTGGTTATATAAAGGAGAACATTTGCCGGGGGAGTTTGCCGGGGGTTTGACTGTGCCGCGCAAGAAACTACCTCCCCGCGGCCGGACTCCCTTGGTCCATTTGATTCTCTTTTTTGTCCAATTCTACGATCCGTATTCCCGTAGAAAGGCCTGGGGGAGGCTAAGCAGAATGTACATATGACGCGATTCTGTACTTCCGTGAGTTGCTTTGAAGGCCAACCCTGAACATGAAGTTGGGTAGCCCAGATGACGACGACGATGATGATTTTTCTGAGAAAACAACAGAATGTTTAACGCCTCTTTACTAACCGTGAGTTGTTGTTTCTGCCTCAGACATAGACTGGTGTTCCCTGGTGACCTGCCCGTTCGACTGGACCTGCCAGGATGATGGGACCCACTTCACCTGCCTGGGTAAATACTATTGTTTGTCTATTTGTTTGTTTGTTTGTTTCGCATAAGCGGCAAACCGCCTTTGGGCGTAACACACCAGTTTTGTACATGTACGTACAAGCTGCGTCATACCGGACTGTAAGGTTTCAACCACTAAAATCGGGAAGATCCCCTACTCTTTTCGACAAGTGCGGTGGGTTCTTTAACGTGCGTTGGGTGTCCCAAAACACGGGACTATTTAACGTCCTTTCCGAGGGACGGCCTTTATCCGAAGCTAGGTACTCATTTCCACCTGAGTGAAGTGAGGAAAGTCGTGTAAAGTGCCTTTTCCAAGGGCACAAGATCGGTGACATGGGCAGGATTCGAACCCGCGACCTCTTGGGTGTGAGCCGAACGCGCTACCGACTGCGCCAAATGACCCCAGTCGTGGGCTGGCTTTTCGTTTTACAGTCGTTTCATTTGGTTATATAAGAAAGTATGTTAATCTGCATGTAAGCACTAGAATACAGTATGATGCCTTTGGTAGTTGATCTACATATGCGATTATTGGCACTCGAGAACAATGACAGAACAGTATGAAGACGACGAAAACAACAACAAACATTCAATATGCCACATAGTACAGTCAGTAGCTGAATCTTGTTGAAAAATCTAAAAGGATTTAATAATCAGTAATCAGCAGAATCAGGAAACTACAGCCAAAAATTATCATTTCAAAAACATAAAAGCTAAAATAAACCGTGCCTTCGACTCACGAACAATTATTTGGAGGACTTAAAATCTAGAGAGTTGTTTCATGTATTGCAATGAAGTATTTTTAAACAGAACAAAGTCGTATAATCTGTATCTTTATGCCTCGTTACAGCGCCATTCGTTCGCAAGAACGACAACTACCGCTGCAGCAGCGCCTCCTGTCCTGACGGCATGAACTGCAGGGAGGACGGAGCCTCGTTCTCGTGCTGGGCTAACTGACTGACCTTTGACCACACTGACCAACCCACCGGACTGGACATGCGAGTTCTCTGAACCCTAAAAACTGATTGATCAATAGATTTATTAATTAGTCACGCTTTTAAAGGCTAGGAGTAAACAGCTAAACGCGTAACTTCTTTAATCTCTCTATTTCTTCTTTTCCTCACTGGACATAATTCTGCAAAATACAGGATGGTTTGAAAATAGAAGCACCTGGATGCATGTGACGCAATCCGATTGAGGCATGGAAACAAACGTAAATGATAATTTAATGGTGAATGTCACACACGAAATGATTTTCACTAGTTGCTGTGCAGAAAAGTACAGTTAGAAATATTTTAAAAACCGGCCTATAACAGTATCAGTATAAGATGACACCATGTATAAGGTTCAAACGGCAATTTCATTATAATTAGGAATCAACTCAACAGAATTAAAAAATCTGCCTATAACAGTATCAGTATAGGATGACATCCTCATTATCAAGTAACTCTGTATCTTTGATAGTTGACAACTACAAATGGAAGGATTTGTTGAATAACTGAAGAATCCAGGCGTCATACTGCCTTAAAGGCAGGCTCATTATTACACTGAAAATGAAGGATTAAACTATACATGTAAGTAACAACGGATATTCCATCTTTGACAACGACATTAACAATCTTTTATTAGCTTTGGAGGGTGGTCATCACCTGAATACAATAGATAACGACACATTGTCAAGTTATCTATCAAGCAACAACACTCTTACAATCTGCAATAGTATCTTTTTTTTTTTTTTTGCTCTGAGCTGTTGCTGCAAAGCTTAAGGCCTAGGATTCAATGAAATAAAGAGTTGCCAATGAATTGCTTCCAGACAAGTCCCATTTTTGTGTCAGGAAATCCTTTTAAGAGACATAAGTTAAGATATTTAGGGTGTTCTTTCCAAACATACTGTTCCCAAACGCTGTCTTCTCTAGAGCCAGCGATAACTGTGGACTCTGAACTTTCCAAGTACGTATTACAATCTTATGGGCATAGGGGACAAACTCCAATAGTTATGTCTCGCATACGTATAGTCCGTTTAGTAAAACCAACGGGTCGTACTAAGGTACGTTCACCGCAGTGAATCACGTCCGTTTCCACAAACACAGGCCATTAAAGGCCTGCTCACAACCCGCCGTACGTGCTTCTGCGTGCTGTCTGGGTGCAAAAACGTGGGCAAACGTAGGGCATCCGTGCGTGGTGAGTCTCTGGGATCCTACGGATTTGGGAGCACGCAGACACGCTGTAGAACTTTAAGTGCATGTAAAACTTTTTCTGCGTGCGGTCTGCGGATTCACCACCCGCGCGTGCCCCGTACGTGTCGTACGGAAGAAGCACGTGTGAGTACGGCCTCCTTACGGTAAAGTTGCAATCGCACAGAGATCGTACGTTGTAAGCACGTACAACTCACCACTTGCGCAAAGAACGATGCACGCAACCGCTCACGGCCAGACGTGGCGTGCAGACCACACTCTTACACATTGGGCAACCGTGCAAGTGACGTGCGAGTGACGTTCGTCGACGCCACTCCTTCCCCACGTTTTCAGAAAAAACGTAGCAGACGTAGCCTCCCAAAAAACGTACGGACAAAAATCACGTACGGCGGGTTGTGACTAGGGCTTTACGAAGCCACACGTGCGGTAACCGCGCGGTCACTCACCTTTCCCTTCAGCACCTGGTCACGTAGTCTGGCGCCCAGACTTGTTAGCTTTAGTCCACTCCCTACGATCGCCGGTGTTGAGCCAAATCCTTGAGCTGCCACAAACGTGAGAGGTTAGGTGTTTAGGTCTAGGGTTAGGGTTAGGGTTGGTATTAGAGTAGAGCTAGGGATAAGGTTAGGGTTGGTATGTAATATTAGAGTAGAGCTAGGGTTAGGGTTCCCAATATACCTGAGACAAGGGGTGGGAGGTGTTTGGTCGTGATGTGAGAGACGCACTAAACGTAACCTAACTCAAATTGTAAGTCTCACCCTAGCAATGAACAATGATCCCAACTCTAACCCTAACCCTAACCCTAACTCTAATATCAACCCTGACCCTAACCCTAACTCTAATACCAACCCTAACCCTAACTCTAATACCAACCCTAACCCTAACTCTAATACCAGCCCTAACCCAAACACTATCCCTAACTCTAATACCAACCTTAACCCTAACCCTAGCCCTGACCTCTCACGTATGTGGCACGGTAACATTGGTTGTGCTTTGTACAATGAAATACTTTACGGAATATATATATGATTACACTTTTGTTTTAAACAAATTTTTGAAACAGGATTTGAAACCAAGAAAAACTTTTTCATGTACCTAGGGATGGTTTTTAATGACACGCGCGTCCATGCTTTTAGACACGATGCAGAAACGAAGTCACGTATTATGAGCACGTATTATGTACATCATTCCATTTGCGGAGGGGTGCAGTTTTGAAAAAATAAACTCGGTTAAAACGTAAAATTTGTCACTTTCTTAAGTAGCTATTCTCTATCTGAAGTCTCTACCTAAAGTCATGATAACCTCCTTGCATTTGGCTTTAATGTTTCTTCGTTACTTCAAAGATAAATAAAATTATATTTTGGAGATATACCTTGCAACGTAAAAGGTCTTTCCCCTGGTTTGCAACGATCTTTTCCACCGAGAGTTGTGACACAGCCGGAGAGAGTTGTGTACCTTGTTCTAATAATAGCTTCACGAAGTACGTGTGCCAACATGGAGGTTGAGGGGTCAGGGTTAGCTGTAGCATAGGGAGGCTCGTAAGGAGTTTAAGGGGAGCTCTAGACGTGTTGTTTCTACCGTATGTACTGGATGTAGACAGTAGGATCCAGTCTTTTAAAACCCTCTAGAAGACCCTTGCTAAAATAAATGTAAAACTTTATTCAACCTGCCTTCCTTCTATTAGTACGTTTTGTGATGTCCTGTTACATGTTCTGACGTATGGACTTGAGGAATATATTATTTTTATTTATATTACCTGACGGTACTGGTCTAAAATAATAATATGCATGTTAGGCCATTAAAAATATTTGTGTGCGTATGTTTGTGCGTTTGGGCTTTAAGCTTGGAGAATGATTGTATGTTTGTGTTTGTGTTTATGTGTGTGCTTGTGTATCAGTGTGTATGTATGTGAGTGAGCGCGCGCGAGAGAGAGTGTAAGTGTTATAAGTTTAAACAATAGATACAGGCATGTTATGATAAGATGCACTGCCATCCATTCTATTCTAGTATATTTAGTGCAAAAGTACGATGCTGTTAAGCTCACATTATTGACTCGATCTCTAGGTCAAACTTACTCATTTACTCAAGTCAAAACCTACCAAAAATTGCATGCGCCCATCCACGAATATTTTATGTATATCAAAGACTGTGTAGATATAAGAAACTTCTCCAATGATTGTAAAAGTTCATACATATCTTATACTAACCACCTACTCTTGTATTAGTTAGGTTAGGCTTATGAAAATGCATTTTATGTGTACTACTACTACTAGTACTAGATGCCACCTTACTTTGTACCATGTACAATTGTTGCGCAATAAAGGTATCTTACGTCTGTGTCAGTAGTCTATGGCACATGTTTTTTTTTTATAATTTCCAACATGTAATCACAAGGCGTGGTGACGGCACACTCAAGTTTTTCAAACTTATATTAATGCCGCCACCAACACAGGGTACCAATACAATACTCATTTTAACCTGAGCGAAGTGTAGCCTGGGTACCATCCTACTTGTATGCCGGGGCTCCCACACTCGCTTCCCTAACAAGAGTGTAGGAGCCGCGGCATACAAGTAGGATGGTACCCAGGCTAAGCGAAGTGAGGAAAGTCGTGTAAAGTGCCTTTCCAAAGCAAGGGCGCAAGATCGGTGGCATCTTATATAATTACTGAGCCAAGGTCCCGCGAGGGACATCATGCTCAGGGACTAGGAGGTGCAGACCAAAGCGCGGCCGGTGGTGCTGGTGGTGCGTACAGAAAAAAAAAGACGAGACAAAAAAAAAAACTTGTGATGGGCTAATCCCACAAAATAGTGCAAAAAGTGATAACAACAACAACAAAATGAAAAATGTGATTGGCCACACTTGGGAAGGTACATAACTAACTCTGGGTGGGGGGAAGGCCCAAATGTTGAGCCAGCCCCCGTTTGAATTCACTGAGTGTAGTCATGGATACTAGATGTTGTGGGAGATTATTCCATTCTGGCACCGTTCTTGGAAAAAATCTACCTCTGTGTACCTCTGTCTTGGTTGGGAGTACCACAAAACGATGGGAGTGGCCTCTGGTGGAGCGTGTGTTTAGTGTTATGTAATTGTGTATGGGTATAGCTATCATGTTATGAATGGATTTGTACAAGAGTGCTAAGCGGGCTATTTGTCTGCGTTGCTGAAGTGTCGGTAGGCCGAGTGTAGTGCGGAGATGTGTGGCGCTTGTAGTATGGCTGTAGTCCCTGGATATAAACCTAACCCCCCGTCTTTGAACTGCCTTTAATTTGTCTACTAGTGTACTGCTTTGAGCGTGTTGTCGAAACTGTGGATCCCAGACTAAGGCCGCATATTCTAATTTAGGCATGTCAGGACTCGAACCCGGGACCTCTAGTTTTATCCGAGTCGAGCACTCTGCCGCTATGCCACGCGACCCCACGTATGTATGTAAATTTGATTACACATAACAGCGTGTTACATACTCACGTACTCAAACAAATGTGAAGAGCACATGATGTACAAAACATTCTCCAACCTGTTCTGACGTACATCATTCTCAGCTGGAGAGAGTTGTGTACTCTATTGTAATAATAGAGTCTAGAAGTACGTGTGCCAACAGGCGGGGTGAGGGGGTCAGGGTTTATTGGGACATTGGGAGGCTCTTTAGGAGTTTACGGGGAACTTCAGTAGTGCTTATATCTACTTTATATCCTAGGTGTGGATAGAAATATCCAGTCTCTTTAAGCACCCCGAAAGAGTTGTTTTTTTTAACGAATTTGGTTTTAACCCGTCTCCCTTATCACTCTGAATAAAACGCAATGTCTTCAGATTCAAAGACGCTCTTCAGAAAGTAACGTTCACGTGTTACGCCCTTTCATATAAGGTGGGGGTGTGGTTCAGTTATCAAAAGTCAGGGAACACGTGCATTCCGGTACTTTGAAACTAGCAATTCTATACATAGCCGCAAATGGAGACCATCTCGTTCAATTTTCATTGTTGAAGTAGTAGACACATGCTAAATTTGTCTTGCAATGTTGTAGGAGCCCAACACCACAGGTTCTAAAGGTTGTTTCCCTACTAGTTCTGGCACCTTCATTTCAGCCGGAGGGAATTGTGTACTTTGTTTTAATGCGTTTAGAAGTACGTGTGTCCACAGAGAGGGTCAGGGGGGCAGGGTTTGTTGAGACGGCGGGAGAGCCAAAGAAAATTTAAATTGAACGTTAGCAGCATTTCTACTTACTGTATATACTCGATGTGGACAATAACATCCAGTCTCTAAAATGCTACCCCATCCATTTTTGAAGAATAGTAATGGAGAAACTAGCCATTCTATACCTAAACGTAAATGGAGACCATCTCGTATTCTACTTTTAATGTTTCCCTGTTTGATTACTACAATAGTGCAATGAATATGATATGCCTTTCGATGTTATGAATGCCGGTAATTGCAAAGGCCATATTCCCCCTGTTCTGACGCTGTTTTCTCGACAGAGAGTTGTATGATAAGAAGTACGTGAGCCAACAGACAGGGTGAAGGGTCAACGTTTGTTAGGACACAGGGAGACTCGTTGAAAGTTCACATGTGACCTCGGTAGTGCTTAACGATAAACACCCAATGCCGTTTTCTCGACAGAGAGTTGTTTGCTGTGTTTTATATATATATAGAGAGAGAGAGAGACAAGAAGTACGTGTGCTGACAGGCGGGGTGAAGGGTCAACGTTTGCTGGGACATTGGGAGGCATTGTTGAATGTTTTCATATTACCTCAGTAGCGCTTGTACGTAACGATATACACAGGATGCGGGCAGTAACACCTACTCTTTTTAAAATCCCAAAAAGAATTTCAAAAAGAACTTATTATATGTGATAATTTTTAACCAGCATACTTTATCACTTTAATACTGAAAAATGCTTGTTTTTAAGATTTGTTGGTAATGGTGCATTTTATTGTTTTCTTTGTTTAATATAGTTTAAGACATTACGGTACTTTAAAAAATTCGTCATCCTATTTTGAGCGTAAAACCACTTGGAGACCATCCCTTCCCGTGTTAGATTAGTAAACTAATATAACTAAGATATATCCTGCGATATTTAAGGAAAATCATCCCAAACGGCACTGCTTGTTATTCTCCCACCTGTTCTGCCACCATCTCGGCCAGAGAGAGTTTGTTTTGATTATAGAGTTTAGAAGTACGTGTGGCAACAGGCGGGGTGAGAAAGGTCAGGGTTTGTTGGGACACAGGTTACCATCAGTAGCGCTTAACGATAAACACCCGATGTTGTTGCGGAGAGTAACACCCAGTCTTTTTAAAATCCCAAAAAAATGATAAAAATGAACTTATTACATCATTCTTCCGAGGCAGAGTTACCTCGGAAGAATGTTATTACATATGTTAACTAGCCATCTTTCTCACTCTAATACCAAACGATACCTTTCTTTTGAAGGTAAATATGTAAATTTAAACTAAAAATATATGTTCTGCGATATTTCAGAAGAAATCCTCCTAATTGCCACTGCTTGAAAACTCTCCCACCTGTTCTGACACCTTCTCAGCCGGAGAAAGTTGTGTACTTTGTTTTAACAATAGAGTTTAGAAGTACGTGTGCCAACAGACAGGATGGGGAGGTCAGGGTTTGTTGGGACACAGGGAGGGTCTTTGGGTCTTTGGGGGGGGGGGGGTTACGGAGACCTTCGAAAGGGCTAGTTATTACTGTACGTACTGGATATAGACAGTAACATGCAGTCTTTTGAAATGCCCCGAAAGAGTCTTTTTAAGGATCAATTTACTTAACCTGCCTCTTAATCACTCTCTGAAGAAATAATGTTCTTTAAGATGTTCTAACGTATGATTTTGAAAGCTTGAAATGCAATAGACTAATGGACAGGGCTTGTCGTAAAGTATCGTACGCATGTTGATTTTTGAGCTATTAAAAAGTGCATCGTTTTTTGGGTGCGTGAATATGAGAGAGGGGGGTTGTTTGTCTGTGTGTCTGCAAGTCTGAATTATACGAGATGCATTCACTGAAATTCTCTCTATGCCAAAAAAGCATGCATAGAAATGCTGTTATTAAGAAAATATCACCGATTCGATCTCTACCTCCTGTAGCTCAAACCCGCTTGGCTTGCCACCGGTCAAAACTTTTGTCTCCAGAAAAACTTATATATAGCGTCCTACCTTAAGATGGGCTGTGTCTGTCATCACTTTAGACTCTTTTTAGGAGTTTATTGCACACCAATCATAATGATGTGACGTGTACATAAGTGACGTTACTTTTGCCTACGTAAGTTTACACCAATCAGCACAGTTTCACGTCAGGTCAAAATATTTACTCCGCAGAAATATTGATGACGTCCCTACCCGCCAGGTGTGTGGTTCCCATGGCCTAGTTTGGGACACAGTATAAATTACCGCACACAGAACAAGCCTCACACACATCACGGAGTCTGGACTCAACTCAGCATATGGTGAACATGTGGAAGTTTCTGGTCTTCATCGCGGCTGTGGTCGTCTGGCCGGACTCGGCACAAGGTGGGTATGGAATCTGCGTTTATTTCATTCAAGGGAAAAAGGGGAATGTGTAAGTGCTACTGTTTGTTTATGCCTGCATTTATGTATTACTGTGTCATACGTCAATCCACCATATCAGCTTTGAAAAAAGTCAAAATGGTGGTCATGCGATGGATCAATCCTGTCATTTTTTCTACAACTTTGCAATTTTACGGGTAGGGAAGCAATGTACAAAAAAGTCATAGATATCAATGAGAAAAGATACAAAACGATATGGTTTAGGTAGTACATAATCTTATACACAAGGTTTTCCTACCTTGTTAGGCAAATGGACTTCATATCTAAGATAGGCAAAAAGCCTCCTTATCTAGTTAGGCAAATAGACTGCCTACTGTATCTTCATGTAGTCAGGCAAACGTCCTACCCATTTAATTAGGCAAATGGCTTTCCATATACGTTAGGCAAGCGCGTGTTCAATGTAAGTTAGGCAAATGTGCTTCGTGTCTAAATTAGGCTAACAGCCTACCTAATTAGTCAGGCACATGTGATGTTAGGCAAATCGGCAAGAACCCCCCTATCTAGTTAGGCAAATATCTGGTTAGATAAATGGGCTTCCTACTTAAGTTAGGCAAACGGCCTACTTATGTAGTTAGGCACATTGGCTTCCCATGCAAGTTAGGCAGATGGATTTTTCATCTAAGTAGTAGTTAGGCAAATGGTTAGGTAAGGTTGGACGGACCACTCACTTATAATCTATAATTATTTCTAGCACCCACTTTTCCCAGATAAACTCTATACGTAGTCTAGTTGCCAATATTCAGTACATTTCGTATGCTGTGATTAATCGGCAATGGGTATTTGGTTAATCGGCAGTGGCAAACTGAATAATTTTTAAAGGTGTTCCGAAAACATTAACGTGTGATTTTTCCCTCCTTGCAGGCCAAGAATACCTGACCACGGTCGACAACTGGAGTTTTTACAAAGTTCAGATTTCTGGACCTATGTCTAATCAAAACGTCAGGGTCACCTGCGAGTCGATGGGAATGAGATATCCGTGTGTCTGGTCAGGTAGTAGAGGGTGTACGAGTACCACCGGCTGGACCTCAGGCTGCATCACGTATGACGACGCCGGTGTCAGCTGTCATACCCACACCGTCCTCTCGGCAAACCTGTGTGGAACTACGTCCGGGTACGGCAGTCAGTGTCAGCCCCTTGATGACACCTTTGTGTGCTGGCCTGGCTGGCTGAGTGATGACAGCGCGTATGGAGTGGACTACGACACTCACACCTGGGCCCTGCATGGAACGGACTACAACAACATGTACGCCCTGTGTACAGGTAGGAACGCATTATTAATGTCGTTTCACGCCAAAAAAAACTTACTGACTATCAGAGTATATTAACCCTTAGCTAACTAGTAGTAATTTACAACAATATAATGTATTACAACAGGAAATTTCTATAAACATAATGTATTACTAAATTGTGGTTAACGTTATTGAGGGCAAATATACGACTCAAAACCAAACCAGGATGACCCTGTTCTTATTTCAAACAGAAGTTGCAAAATGTTTGCTGATCCTTTCCCCTAGTTATACTGTCAGAAAACTCTCTTTGAAGCGTGTAAGTTTCTATGTATACATCAGGTGATGTGGGCTTATTCATCGACATGCATTATTTAGCAACATTATTACCCACCCAGATGTCCATAGTTGATGCGGTCGCCTTTTCTATTTGGCATTATTCTTTTATCACAGCACCGTTTTCAAACTCTTACAGAAAGGGGCGAGTGCAGCAGCGCCCCCTGTCAGAATAACGCTACATGCCAGGACCAGGCGAACGGGTTCACCTGTCAGTGTGTGCCTGGGTATACCGGAACTCTCTGTGAAACAGGTAGGCTTCTGTATAATGTAATACATACTTATCAATGGTCTCTGTTTATCTAAGCAAAACCAAAGAGCTTCAACGTGAAATAAAGTCCATAGTTAAACATCAATTGCAATTAATAATTGAAGCCTTTGCCTTTTCTTCCATTTAGAATTATATTTTGATGACTTGTTCGTTTTCCAATCGTCTTGACACTCTTGCAGATATCGATGACTGCATCGGCGCTCCCTGTCAGAATGGAGCAGTATGTCAGGACGGAGTGAACAGCTTCACCTGCCAGTGTGTGCCTGGATATATTGGAACTCTCTGTGAAACAGGTAGGCTTAAGTTTTGATATTTGATGTTACAATAACTTATTAATATGCCTGAATGTAGAATATTAAAATGTAGAAAGGGAAATATGTATTAGCAAATAATTTGCCACATGTCGAGTAGACAAAAATGCTTTAGACTGATGAGCAGCCAACTGTGGCCTTGACTCTAAGAGCGGGGTAACTGTGGAAAACGTGTCAGAGTAATTGTCCTTCATTCGTATAAAGCAATGGTGAAATGTATACATTCCCAAAAGTATTTCATTTTGTTCCAGAAATCGACGAGTGCGCGAGCAATCCTTGTTGGCTGGGAGGGACCTGCCTGGATCACGTGAACGGCTACAGCTGTGTCTGTCCTAAAGATGCCACCGGAAAGAACTGTGAAACAGGTACAACTTTTATTCTATACCATATTAAACGAACAGTTTAACTTAAAAGATGTTTAGGAGTATGATAGTCGGCAATTCTAAAAATGCTCACAAAAAATTATCCATCTCATATATGTAACAAGACTGCCAATGAAAACATACATTGCCATGGCGACGGTGGTTGCTGTTAAGGTTATTGCTTGCATGGCACTGCCATCATTTCATGATGTTGAGGAAGACTTGGTACCTATTAAGTCTAGACAGATACAGTGCACTGCTCCCCTGTGTGCAGTGAACAAGCCCCGGGGTCACAGAAATTAGGGCATCCGGGGCAGAGAGGTCTTCCCAAGAGTTTCCAGGAATGTGGGCATAAATGTGTGTCAGCAAACAGAGCTGGGAGACATTTCTGTACATTTCCTAGAATTCTGGAAAACTGCACACAATACGGCACCATTAGGGTCCTCCCTGAGATGTCTCCAAAAATCTACGGGAATTAATGTCTCTTGTCTTCTTCAAAAAAATGCACTAAAAAGTTCATAAACAACTTTTTCATTCCAGTGGCATTTGCCGGAGAATGCTACGAGTTCTCCTCCAATGCCGCTACCCACCCCGACGCTACCCACGCCTGCCAAGCCAAGAACGGCCAGTTGGTGGATGTACCGGATGATAGGCTGCAGCGGTTCCTGGCCGACACTATTGCATCCAGTAGCGGCGTGTCCAACTGGCTGGCGATGAAAACAGCACCGGCAGCTATTCTGTACAGCAACGGATCCCCATTCTCAGGTAGACAATTAGGTTTCATCATCATCATCTTGCATGGCCGTAGCC